TCAACATGCAAACAAATCAAGGAGGGGTGGGGGGTGTTATCATGCAGATTCTGCTTCCATGGGTGTTGGAGCCTGGGATTCTGCCTTTCTAACAAGCTCCCAGGTAAGTACTGATGCTGCTGGTTTGAGGGCCACACACCTTAAGGAGCAGGAAGAATATTCATACTAGAAGAGTATTCAGCATGGACTGGAAGCCTGATTACATATCTGAGCTCAGTTTTCTGATGTATATACAGACTTTAAAAAAAAAAAATTTAGTAGAGATGGGGTCTCACCATGTTGGCCAGACTGGTCTCGAATGCCAGGGCTCAAGATATCCTCTTGCCTTGGCCTCCCAAAGTGCTGGGATTACAGGCATGAGCCGCTACACCTGGCCTATTTAGACTATTTCTAAGGTCCATTCTAACTGTACAATTCCATGATTCAATCTCCTTTTGGCTATTAACTAATTTTTCTTTAGGCTTCTGGTTCTCATTGTTTATAAGCTGCTATATTAGATAATGTTCCGTACTGGAAGGCCAAATAAAGAGTCTTACTTATGGCCGGTAAGTTTTATTTTTCAATCTTCTACAAGTCTGCCTCAACCTATGGGAAATCTTGGCTAATAGTAACATGATACTGGGCTTGGACCATAAACTAAACTTGAGTCAGCAATGTAGGGCTTTGGTTAGATAAGCAAGTATGAACTTGAGAATATAATCAAAAGAAAGGGACAATTAATCCTACTAGAATAGGGAGTATTTGCATGAATATTTTTTCAAATATCCACAACAGAAAAGCTGCAGAACACGTAAAGAAAAGTTAAAAGCATGGCATTATTTAGCTAGTGCAGAGAGAACAAAGAATGCCTTAAGAATAATTTTTGAATGGCAACAGAAACCAGCATATTCTCTGAAGTAAATAGCTTTTTAGAACATCAAAATAGATTTAGGTTACCTCTAAAGCAGAACTTTCCCATGATAATGATAATCCTAGGTGGTAGGCTTGCCAATGGTAATTTTCTTTCCCAAAGATTCTTACAAAGAACCATAAACCTACTACACTGCCTTTCAGTTGTGTTATTAACTGACACATCAGTTAGGGTTCAGTGCAGACACTTATCTAGGTATTGAATATTAAGAATTATATGCTTAAAATTTTTCTGCTCTTACCATTAGAAGGGCTGGAAAATGGCTGAGGGAGAAGACTTCTTCCAGCCCTTCTAATGGTAAGAGCATTAAGAGGGCTGTTCTTGGGATTACACTTCAGTCCACACAGCGACAATCTAGAGGCTAGGAAGCTATAGAGTCCACTGCTGACATTACAGTCATTTCTCACCAGTGCAGTTAGCGGCAATACAGAGGCACAGAAAGTCTGATCACTAAAAATCACATTTAATGTTGCATGCACATCAACAACTACCAGTGAAAATTAATAGGCAGCCAGGCATGTTGGTGCATGTCTGGAGTCCCAGACATTAAGGAGGCTGAGTGTAGTCCCACACATTTAGGAGGCTGAGGTGGGAGGATTGATTGAGCCCAGGAGGTCTAAGCTACAGTGAGCTGTGATTGCACACTGCACTCCAGCCTGGATAGAGCAAAATTCTTTCTTGAAAATAAATATATAGAGAGAAAGCGGGAGGGAAGGAAGAAGGAAAAAAGATAGAGAAAGGAAGGAAGGGAAAGAAAAGGGAAGGAAGGAAGGAGGGAAGGGAGGGAAGGAAGAAGGGAGTGAGGGAGGGAAGGAAGACTAATAGATAGGGGAAATAGCCTCTCTCTTCATTTTACCTTTCAAATTTCATAGCATTATGTCTGATTGGCACAATCTAAATTGTATAACAAATCCTATTAGCAGCTCAGCCTAGAATTATAGTTATTTGGTTTTGTTTTCAGCTCAGTGTAAGTCCATTTTTATTGAAGTATAGCATACAGACAGAAAAATGTACAAATTATAATCTGAGAGCTTGATGAATTTTCATAAAGTAAACACCCCTACATATAGCTAGCACCCAGATTGGAAGGCAGAAACTACTACCATATCAGAAGCTCCCTTCATGATCTTTTCTAGGCATTATCCTCCCCCAAATTGACTGTAATCTTGGTTTCTAATATGCTAGACCAATTTGGCCTATTTGTAAACATTAGACAAAATGGAATAATACTGTGTGTATTATTTTATTACTGACTTTTTATATCAACATTATATTTGTGAGATTCATTCGTGTTGTGTGTGGTAATAGTACCTTCATTTTCATTGCTGTATAGTATTCCATTGTACGAATATAACACAATTTATGCATTCTAAAAAGATGGACATTGGGTTGCTTCCAGTTTGAGATTATTGCAACTAGTGCCACTATGAACATTGGTGAACACACACACACACACACATTTCAGTTGGATATATAAAAGTGGAATTTCTCTGATGCATGGGGTTTGTCTTGAGTAGATACTACCCAACAGTTTTTCACGTCTTCATCAAAAGTTGATCTTTTTCATCTTTTAAATTTTAGCCATTCTTTTTAAAGACTAATTCAGTGTATTGAATCTCATTGTTGTTTTCATTTTCCTGATATCAAGTAAATTAAACACCTCTTAAATTGTTTATTGGCCATTTGAGTACCCTCTTCTGTGTTCTGTGAAATGCCTATTCATGTATTTTGTGTGATTTTTCTTTTTTTTTTTTTTTTTTGCTTTCTTCAATTTTGTATTTTTTCTCTTTATTTTCTTTTTATTTTATTTTTTTATTGCATTTTAGGTTTGGGGGTACATGTGAAGAACATGCAAGATCGTTGCATAGGTACACACATGGCTGTGTGATTTTTCTATGGGTTTGTCTGCCTTTTCTTGTTCTTTGTAATTCTTTATTCTGGATATGAGTCCTTCATTGGGTGTATGTATTGAGAATATCTTTTGGCACTCTGTGGCTTTTTTTGTTCACTCTTTTATCAATGTCTTTTGATAAAGACATTTGTAATTTTGAATTAATTCAGTTTATCAGATGTTTTCCTTTATGGTTCATTTATTTTGTGTGTCTCCAGTTTAAGAAATCTTTGTGGGCTCCAAATCATAATAGTATTCTTCTTTTTTCTTGAGAAACTGTTATTGTTTCACTTAGATTTACAATTTATCTAGTATTGACTTTTATGGATGGTGAAAAGTGGGAAATATAGTTTTCAGCCTTCCAGTTTGTGCAATTCTGTAGAGAAGGAGTATAGTAGAGAAGGTAGTAAAAATGTATGCAAGAAACCATAACTAACAGCTAACTTAGGTGACTGTTTACACTGTAAACAATTATATGGTTAGGCTTTGTATCCCCACCCAAATCTCATCTTGAATTGTAATCCCCAGGTGTTAAGGGAGAGATCTAGTAGGAGGTGATTCGACCATGGGGGAGGTTTTCCCCATGCTGTTCTCATGATAGTGAGCGAGTTCTCACAGATCTGATGGATTTATAAGGGACTCTTCCCCTTTGCTTCTCTCTCACTCTCTCCTGCTGCTTTGTAAAGAAGGTGCCTACTTCCCCTTCATCTTCCACTATGGGTAAGTTTCCTGAGGCCTCTCCAGTCATGTGGAACTGTAAGTCAATTAAATCTCTTTCCTTTATAAATTATCCAGTCTCAGGTAATATATTTACAGAAGTATAAAAACAGACTAAAACAAACAGGTAGCTGTAAATTGTGAGTTTTTCTTAACTCCTTTTCAAGTATGATTTTCTGTGATAATGAATTTTCACATTTTACACTTCCCTAATGCCAAAATATTCACCTCCAGCAGCTGTTTGGCCTCTTTCTTATCCTGTTCCTTGGAACAATGTCATCATCGTTGCTGCCAGAGCACTGTGTTCTTTTTCAGAAGTTATAGCAAGAATTGATCTGCTTTCTGTCTTTTTTTTTTTTTTTTTTTTTTTTTTTTTTTTGAGGCAGGGTTTCGCTCTGTCACCCAGGCTGTAGTGCAGTTCCTCAATCTCAGCTCACTGCAACCTCCACCTCCCGGGTTCAAGAAATTCTTGTGCCTCAGACTCCAAGTAGCTGGGACTACAGGTGTGTGCCACCATGCCTGACTAATTTTTGTATTTTTAGTAGAAACGAGTTTCACCATGTTGACCAGGAGAGTCTTCATCTCCTGACCTCGTGATCCACCCACCTTGGCCTCTCAAAGTGCTGGGATTACAGGCGTGAGCCACAGCACCCAGCCAGATCTGCTTTCAAATAAATGACAAGAAGACCAGGGTTACAATTGGTGGGAAAAGGTGAATACTGGAATTTTTTTAAAGAATTGTAGTCTCAGGCCGGGCGCGGTGGCTCAAGCCTGTAATCCCAGCACTTTGGGAGGCCGAGGTGGGTGGATCACTAGGTCAAGAGATCGAGACCATCCTGGTCAACATGGTGAAACCCCGTCTCTACTAAAAACTACAAAAAATTAGCTGGGCATGGTGGCGCGTGCCTGTAATCCCAGCTACTCAGGAGGCTGAGGCAGGAGAATTGCCTGAACCCAGGAGGCGGAGGTTGCGGTGAGCCGAGATCGCGCCATTGCGCTCCAGCCTGGGTAACAAGAGCGAAACTCCGTCACCAAAAAAAAAAAAAAAGAATTGTAGTCTCACCACATAATCTAAGATCATGTGATCAAGGGCATTTTTCTAAAAGGCTTGAGGAAAAGTTGTTTTTCCTAAGGGGTTAAACAAGCTCATGACCCTACCTCTCCTCGTTTGCAGGCACAACCACTCCCTGCAATTTTTTTTCATGTGGAACAATTGATGTTTTCTCAATCTTATATAAGATATTATACAAGGCTGGGCATGGTGGCTCATGCCTGTAATCCCAGCACTCTGGGAGACCAAGGTAGGCAGATCACCTGAAGTCAGGAGTTTGAGACCAGCCTGGCCAACATGGTGAAAACTTATCTCTACTAAAATACAAAAAAAAAATTAGCTGGGCATGGTGGCACACACCTGTGATCTCAGCTACTCGGAAGCTGAACCCGGGAAGTGAAGTTTGCACTGAGCTGAGATAGTGCCACTGCACTCCAGCTTGGGTGACAGAGCAAGACTCCGTCTCAAAAAAAAAAAAAAAAGCTGTTATACAAAAGAGGTTTCAGATGAGTTCCTTACCTTTCTCAGATTTTTCCCCGTAGGCTCCTTTAGAAATTATGGCATGGCTATTGGGACAGTAAAATGTATCTAGAGCAAAATTCTTCTCAAGCCCCTTGTGCCTTATCCCCGCTCTCTCTTTTGATATTTGGATACATCATTTGGTTCCCTAATAATAATGGCTAAAGTGGGTTGTGAAATATGACTTTTTTATTATTCAACCCAATTTCTATTCCATGGCCACATATCTCTGGGCTGTTAGGAAAAGTCATTTCAGCATGTATTTTCAAGTCATACCACACAGCAGCAGGATCTTACACAGTGCCAATTCTTCTGGAATGGGGCAGGTGCCTTAGCTGGTCCTTAATTAGTTCACAATGATGCAGCCAAGATTCATAAACAGTGTAGGGTTCCCATGACCCCTGTATGTTTAGGACCTTCTATTGTTCCTGAGTTACCCTAGAGGTCTGCTCATCTACATAAATGCATCTGCATAGTCATTCCCCTAATTCCTACCTGCCAGACACTCTTCTAATTACTCCATGTGCCTTGTCTCATTTAATCCTCATAATAACCCTATATGATAGTTGTTGCTATTATCTACATTTTATAGATGAGGACATTGAGGTTAGGTAATATGCCCAAAGCCTTTTTATCTCATTAGTGCTGAAGTTTTGCTGTGGATTGACTATCTTTACTTGTATGAGTGCTCATTAATAATCCGTTGGCACACTCTCAGTGGGCTTCTCAAATCTTAGACAAACCTTGAAGAGTTCATCTTTGCAAAGGCCGATTACACCAAGGCATGTCAGTCATCTTAGTTAATCGTCTTATTCAATTCATGAAGCAAGTATTTCTAGGGACTGGCCATATGCCCAACACAAGTTCTGATGACCGAATGGGATAAGGTGCAACAGTAGTACTAGAGTCCCTTTCATAGGAATCTTAAAAGTAAATTTTGTCCAAGTTATCAATCTTATTCTAATGGAATTTAACTTAATTTGAAAGAAACCTAAGTCCTTCAGTCACTAACTCATAGATTTAATAAATGGGACTCAGACATATGAACATTGTTGTTTTTGATGGCCACATTTTCTGGGTCATCTCCCAGAAGTAGCATAAGTTTCTTCTTATGCTAATTTGAGTGCTGCTAAACCAAGAAAGGCCCACCTTCACCCACTCCTCACCCCCCATGGTTCATGGTTCAATTCAGTCTCCAGTCTCAATTTTCCAATTATCTAATAACTTGAAGACTTCCATTGGGAGTAGGTAAGGATGGAATCTTAAGGGAATTAAAAGTGCCATTTCAGAGTCAATATAGTTTTAATAGGTTTTAGGGATAAACCTGATACCTAACCACTAAATATAAGGCTTTCATAGGAATCTATGTCCATGTCCCTAAAAAAACAATTTGAAACCCAGTTTGGTTATATTCCTTAAGAACCATTTTATATTCCTTATATTTATTGGTACCTTAATTATTAAAAACCTGGCCACTTTAAGGTGGAATTTCTAGTATTTTCGCTACTCTTTACTCTTCTACATGGCAGTACATGTTTCTGTCCTGATATCAGCTCTCAACTTGAGCAAAGGCGCGCTTCTAGTTACTCAAGGGCGGACAGAGCTCTCTGGAAAGGACCATTGAAGAGTTTATAACAATGTTTTACAAAGTTCAAATTACCCTTGCTTATCTGGAATCTTTTGAAAATTAATCCCTAATTGGCTGAATGTAACATAACTTACTGTAGGAGCTAGTTTTACTGAATGAAACATTTTGTCCTAGATTTTTGTGACCGTGAGTGTCTCCTTCAACCCTGGAAAAGGATATCTGTTCTAGGTCATTCTTACTTCCTAGAGAGGAGAAAAATCAGAACTATTTCCTTTACACTGTCAGGTGGGTCTACTGAAACAGTCCATCAACCTGATAGCAGAATATCAGGGCTTCAAAACAAGAAACATAGAATCCCTAACCCCAGAGAGTAATCAGCTTATCTCACTGCTTCCCCTTTAGATTAAGAGCAACTTTAGTAGAATGAGTTCCCTGGGCACAGCACCTGCAGGTTATGTGAAGGTGCTTTATAAGCTTTTTTGTTTGTTTTTGAGACAGAGTCTCACCTGGTCACCCAGGCTAGAGTGCAGTGGTGTGAACATGGCTCACTGCAGCCTCGACCTCCTGATCTTAAATGATACTCTCTACTCAGCCTCCCGAAAAGCTGGGACTACAGGCGTGCACCACCACTCCTGGCTAATTTTTGTCTTTTTTGTAGAGACAGAGTTTCAACATGTTGCCTATGCTGGTCTCAAACTCCTGAGCTCAAGTGATCCACCCACCTCGGCTTCCCAAAGTGCTGGGATTACAGGCATGAGCCACAGCTCCCAGCCTTGCTTTGTAAACTTTAAAGCAGCATATAGCACTACAGGTTGTTGAAAATTTGTTTTATTTCCTTTGCTTTTTAGCCTAGAAAGTACTCTGACCAGCAAAAACGACCCATTGCACATGTTAACACTATTGCTAGATTTCAGTGATGGTGGTATGATAGTAGCAATAGCAAGAGAAACAAAAAGAAGAGTGTAAGGGTGGAGAATGTGTATGTCCATGCCCATGTCCTGGCTTTTTGTGCTGGCTTTTCTACATGCTCCAAGGAGATTTCTCAAAGTTATCCAGTGTTCAAATGGGAAGGAGCACAGATCAGATGGGGAATCTGCCCAGGTGTCAGAGAATCCCTGTTAATCTTCTGACCAAAATAACTATCCATTCCAAGTTCTTGTTATTATTTTTTGAAAAATAACAATCATTTTCATAGCTAATATTCTTCAAAGACTTGTAGAGATTTTACCCACTTTCATAAACTGTTTAAGTTTTCTGAAGTTAGCTGTTAAGAACTTACGTTAAGATAGCTCTGTCTTATGGGCCGGGTGCGGTGGTTCATGCCTGTAATCCCAGCACTTTGAGAGGCCGAGGCAGGTGGATCACGAGGTCAAGAGATCGAGACCATCCTGGCCAACATGGTGAAACCCCGTCTCTACTAAAAAATACAAAAAAAATTAGCTGGGCATGGTGGCGCGTGCCTGTAGTCCCAGCTACTCGGGAGGCTGAGGCAGGAGCATTGCTTGAACCCAGGAGGTGAAGATTGCAGTGAGCCAAGATTGCACCACTGCACTCCAGCCTGGCACCTGGTGACAGAACAAGACTCTGTCTCAGAAAAAAATAAAAAAAAAAAAAAAAAAAAGATAGCTCTGTCTTTAGAGCTGAAATAAATTCTAATCTGGAAGTAAGAATGGCCTAGAACAGATGCCTTTTTTCAATTCCACATGAATGGAGACTTTAGGCTGAGTTCCACCTCCTTAAAAAAAGAAAGCAGGGATGTGTATGGACTCAGTCAAGGGTGGAGAAGTAAAGCTGGTAGTGACTCACCTCAGTTTTTGGAAGGAGGCGGATTAAGCTTCCACCCCCACAAGCCTGATGCTGGGAACTCCCACTTTGGAAGATGAGGCAGCTCTTGACTTGAAAGCAGTCTGCAGTAGCGTCCCACCCTAGAAAAGAAGTTAAATTCATTGTTAGACTTGAGAACGTGCAACTAAAATGTAAGAAATACAAGTGTCCAGTATACTCAAAAGCCTTAAAAATGCACATTTTGTCCAGTGACCAACTTCAAATTTATAACTCTGCCTTTAGGAAGTACTAAGCATGTGTGCAAAGATTAAACTGCTAGGCAGATCATCCAAACTGTGTTTGTCATACAGAAATAGAAAAGCAACCTAAGTGTCCAACAGTAAGACTTTAATTACATAAATACATCCATATATTTTTCATATTTAAAATAATGTTATAGATACATATTTATTAATGTGATAAGTTGTCTAAAATATATTAAAGACAAACACAGGTGACCAGCCATTATGTACTTGATTATCCCCTTTCAGTAAAATAAAAACGTGTGAGTATATGTGTATGGTTTTAAAAGCTTTAAAAGGGTTTCTGGTTCAAGGTGATGGATTGACTACATGCATTTAACTTTCCCTTGCTCTCTAAATCTCACCAACATGGTATAAAAACACACACACATACAGTCACAAAGAACAGTTTGTATAAATGTACAAAAAGAAACTCTGCCTGACTTTACACTCCATCCCAACTCTGGGTCTTGCCGCCATATCTAGAAATGGGAAGAATGCTGACAAAAGAACAAGAAAAGGAGATTTTGACTTTTTGTTTTTATACTATCTGTACTATTTGATGTTTTTCATTAGTACTGTGTATTTTTGTAACTTTAAAATTATTGAAGGCTAGATTTAAAAGTGGTAATACAGAAGCATCACAGCACTTTGCATTTAGCTTTTATAGGGTTCACCTAAATTTGGGAAGAGTGGAGGGCAAATGAGAAAGAATAAAGGAAAGAGAAAGGGGGAGAGAGAGGAAGAAGGAAAGTGTAAGAGATATTTTTTTTTTTTTTTTTTTTTTTGAGACACAGTCTTGCTCTGTTACTGGGGCTGGAGGGCAGTGACATGATCTCGGTTCACTGCAACCTTTGCCTCCCGGGTTCAAGCAATTCTCCTCCTTCAGCCTCCCGAATAGCTGGTATTACAGATGTGTGCTATCACACCTGGCTAATTCTTTTGTGTTTTTAGTAGAGACAGGGTTTCAGCGTGTTGGTCAGGCTGGTCTCAAACTCTTGAGCTCAGGTGATCCGCCTGCCTCACCCTCCCAGAGTGCTGGGATTACAGGCATGAGCTACCATGCCCGGCCACAAGAGAGAATATTTTAAATGGTGTTATGATTCCTGCCTGACCTTTCTTCTCTCTCCCTCTCTCTCTCTCTCTCTCTCTGTCAGAGACAGTGTCTTTCTCTGTAACTCAGGCTGAAGTGCAGTGGCATTATCAAGGCTCACTGCAGCCTCAAATTCCTGGGCTCAAGCAATCCTCCTGCCTTAGCCTCCTGAGTAGGTGGGACTACAGGCACATGCCACCACAGCTGGCTAATTTTTTTTTTTTTTTTTTTTTGCAGACATAGGGTCTTGCTATATTGCCCAGGCTGGCCTTGGACTCCTGGTCTCAAGCAATCCTCCCACCTTGGCCTCCCAAGGCAGTGGGATCTGATCTTTTCAATTAGCTTGAAACTAATCCAAAATAAATCTGAAAGAGGTGATGTGAATTTGATCAATTTCTGGTCCTGTGTGCTCTTCATACATTGAGTATCTTGTCACAGTAAGTGTGATTCTTTTGTTAACAGGTCCTTTTATTTTTATTTATTTATATATGTTTAAATAGCATGGCTTATAAATACAACTACTTCGTTAGTTGCTCAACTAACAAAGCTTATGCCATGCACACGTGTTGGGTTTTCTACATGCTCCAAGGTTCTATTCCAAACTGAATAATTTAAGGTATTTTCAGGGGTAATCCCATTCCCCTCTTAATTTATTGGTTAACTCTCAATAAGATGAAAAGCCAGTGCAGAAGTTAGTTAATAATCAGTGGTGGAATTCAGGTGTTTTTTGTTTTCTCTCTCTCTTTAGTCGTATTTTCAATTTGGATAATAAGGAATTATTCCTTTTGTTATAAGAAAACTAGGCTGGGCACAGTGGCTCACGCCTGTGATCCCAGCACTTTGGAAGGCCAAGGTGGGCAGATCACGAGGTCAGGACTCAGCCTGGCCAACATGGTGAAACCCCCTCTCTACTAAGAAGACAAAAATTAGCCTGGTGTGGTGATGGGTGCCTGTAGTCCCAGCTAGTCAGGAGGCTGATGCAGGAGAATTGCCTGAACCTGGGAGGCAGAGGTTGTAGTGAGCTGAGATCGCACCACTGCACTCCACCTCTGGGTGACAAAGCAAGACTCCGTCTTGGGGAAAAAAAAAGAAAACTATATTTGTATCTATCTATCTATCTATCTATCTATCTGTGTATTTATTTAGGAGCATGGTCTCACTCTGTCAGTCTGGCTGGAGTGCTGTGGTGTGATCACAGCTCACTGCAGCCTGGAACTCCTGGGCTCAAGCTATCTTCCCACCTCAGCCTCCTGAGTCACTGGGACTACAGGTGTGCACCACCATGCCTGGCTAATTTTTTATTTTTATTTTTGTAGAGACAAGGTCTCACTATGTTGCTTAGGCTGGTCTTGAACTCCTGGCCTCAAGTGATCCTCCCACCTTGGCCTCCCAGTGTTGGGATTACAGGTGTTAGCCATTGCACCGGGCCAGAAAACTATGTATTTTTTAAAAATTTTTTGAAATGATAGCTGTAGCTCTTATTCCATCTTCACCTGGCTGATGGGCATCCATGGACTCTCTTCTCTTTTCATGACTCAACTCTATTCTCATAGACATCTCATTTCCATCTGCTGCCCCAAGTGGAACACTCTTCAGTGATAAGAAATCACAGCATCACAATTTTGCACTTACTATCCATCCAGGTAGGAAACTCACTCAGTCCCAATCTGTGTCAAATAGTATTTATAACTAGCCCCTCAATTGATTTTCTCTTTTTCCTTGTGTGAAGTGCTTCCTGAAATTATAAGAAACTTGTATTTATATTAATCAGTAAGACTTTTTCTTCATAACTTGAAATATACATAGAAAAATGTTGTTTGTAGCAAAAATGTTAAATAGACTACTATTTTATGACATAAATTAAAAGTCAGCCAAGAAACTTCAGGTAGCATAGATGAAGAACTCACATACTGATGATTAATCCATGCTTCTGGCTGCAAAACTGAACAATCAAGGTTGGGCCATCTCCAAAGAACAGGTTTGAAATCCTGGAAGGACAATCAAGCCTTTATTTCAAGCTAATGGGGTAACGAAACCCTCTGGATCCTTTTGAAGTTAGGAGGTAAGAAGCAGTTGAGGGATTTTTATTCTTTAGGGGGCCAGGTCCTGAGGAAATTTGCCCAACCTGGTAGCCTAATCAGGTTTCAGGGTTAATGGTCCTGATCAGTATAAAGTGAGACTCCAAGATTGTGTGTTCTCTGTGGAAGATAGACACTTGGAAAGATACTTAATCACAAGTTACGGACCTAGTTTTTGTTTGTTTGGTTGGTTTTTGTTTTTGTTTTTGAGATGGAGTCTCCTCTGTCACCCCGGCTGGAGTGCAGTGGTGCCATCTCAGCTAACTGCAACCTCTGCTTCCTGGATTCAAGTGATTCTCCTGCCTCAGCCTTCTGAGTAGCTGGTATTACAGGTGCCCACTAACATGCCTGGCTAGGGACCCACTTTTAATACCTTATGTGATGCAGAACAATTTCTTTAATCTCATGAACTCTTATTTTTTTATAGACTTGAAATGGTAATGATATTGTTTATTCTGCAAATTAAATGAGAGGCTCTCTGTAGGTATACAGTGCTGAGGTGCTAATGGATAACAACAAGCTTTAAAACATTTATTAAGATAAAAAGGATAAAACACATTCTGTCTATAGTACAGTTGTTGGGTCTTTTTTAGTGTGGAAAGTGGTAGACAAGCAGTTCCCAGTGGGAAGCCTGAAAACACCTTCGTGTTCTCCTTTAGCGTTTTGCAATTTGTTTACTTATTAAACTAACGCCTTGGCAACAAGAATAGTATTTTTCTTGCATGGAATCCATCTCTAAGAAAACGTATACCTGGAAGCTGTCAACAACAATAAGCCAGCAAGTCAAGAGTGAGCCCATTGACAGAGTTGGCATGGATCAGCTTTAATCCTTCCCCAGGGCACTGAAGCAAAGGACATAGGTGAGTACTTGTCAGGAGTTCTCACAGGAATCTCATTCTGCCTGGCTATCCAAATATCACAGCCACTTCCCCTGTCACTTGACATCAGGGCTGCTAAGGATGCTTTACAGAAAGCTCTGCTGAACCAAACTCAGGAGATCTCAAATAGTACAAGTCCAGATATAAATTTTGAAAATCCCTCTTGAGACAAAAACCTCTTTCCCCAGATCCACCAAGCTGCCTGATAACATACCAGCCTGGCCTCTTTGTTCATTAGCTCCAAGATCTCAGGCTGGCTGCTAAGCCGCTGCAGCAGTGGCCTAACCTGACATCCCACTTATGCCCTCAAACTCAACACAACTTCTGTCCATTGCATCATTTTACCCAAAATTCTTAGGTATACTAAAATTTTGTTCCAGCTTGAATTGTGCACAGTAACTCCAATACTATCCTCACCACTATTCCCATGCCTCACCCCTACTAAGAGTGCTGGGTTGGGCCTGTCCTGAATCTCGGCACCAACTTCACCCACTCCACCCTTCCTCACCATCTTTGCTGGATCACTGCTCACTTGCAGAAGGTCAAGTGTGAACCCTGCTAGTCATTTCCACTCTTTTTTGGTCTTTAATCACACATGATAGACTTTTAATGTGTCCCTTAGACTCTACAATATTAGATAATAAAAGAGGTATCGAAAGCATATTTTCTGCTCCTCCTGCTTTCAGATTCCTCCTTCTGTCCCTACTTCTAATGGAGACAGAGTAGGGAGTCACCAAATTGATCTGGAAAAGATGAACTAGATATGCTCAGATTATAGAGCCTGGCCTCAGTGGGGAGGAATTGGCATCT